AGCCTTTCGTATGGGTTGACTATAGCTCTGGAGACAGGCGGTTTTTCTTCTGAGCAAATAAAACCTCAGCATTGAAGAATCCTTGTCCTGTCATTTTTAACCGTAATGAGAATAGAACGAGCCTCTGGAACAAGGTGCAATGGAGTCAGGAGAAGTGGCCTTAAGTGAAAACACAGCTGTGGGGTTTACAGACGGTGCGCGGGGAGGCGTCATCCAGTGGGAGCGGCCAGCCTCACTATAGACTTTCCAACACTAATGAATCGGGAACTCCATGCTGAACAGGATTGAGTTGATGGGTCCCTGTGCCAGCAGATGGATGTATTTTTCTTGAAAGACCAAGGTGCCAGCAATCTCCATGATTACGTTACTGGAGCAAGGTTCTTTTTTGTGGTTTGTGAAGTTGAGCGTCAGGACTGCAGGATTCTCTTGCTCTTTCTCACTCTTATTTTTTCCAGGTCAGAACCAGAGCCTGGGGTGGGGAGGAAAATCCTGCTGAATGAGCAAGTTCTTTCTTAAAAAGCTCTCTCCAAGTCCAAAAAGACTTCAGTGGACTTAGGAGAAAGAAACTTAATACATTGCCATAGAATCGTTGTGAACCAAGTAAAAGCCAAGTCCACAGCATCTTTGTCTTATAAAAGAAAGCAAAGAGGAGATGGAAAAAAAGAAATAATGCTTAGGAAATCCAAACCAAACAAGGAAAACTAAAGAAGAAAAACTAAAGATCACCTCAGAGAATGTGAAGATTTCCTTCTAATAAGATTTTTCAATTATAAAACCAGGCTCAGGTAGAAGTTACTTTTCTGTTCTTTCTAAGTGCCATAAATGGCATACCTGAAATGTTTGAACTAGGACGGGGTTTGCCACTTTCAGCTTGAGAGAGAGTTGGACACTCTGCAAGACTAGTGGACTGTGTGGGGAAGAGTCAACCATGTAGCGGCTGGAGGCTTCCCAGGCTGGTCCTTGACCTGCGTTTGAACCTTGGTCCTAATAGCTAGCAGATTGAAGCAAGCTCACAGGCCTCCCAGAGAACCCATGTTGGTTTGAACTCGAGCAAGCTTGGCCACAGAATAGCACTCTTTTTTTTACCAGCTACCTCTCTCAATGTACCCATGTCAGAGGAACTCAGAGCTGGACTCCAAGGTCACCCTGCTCAATGATGGAGCAGCCTGCAAGTACCATCCAGGCCAAGGTCAGAGAGAGAACTGGTTGTCCACCAGAGTTCATCTTGGAGCTGTTGTGGACAAGACAGGCAACTCCTAGACTTCTTAGTGCATGTTTTGCCCATCCAAGGTCAGGCCAGGTGTTTTCAAAAGCAGCGCAAGTTCTGAGCTGGTACCTTCCTTAGCTGATGGAGTTTAGTGCCAAGTGGCCTGAGTATAATGTTCTTCAGGAACGTGGCTGTTTGGGAAAGCCAACTATGACCTGAACAGATTGAAGACTGACTTGTTTATGAGCCCAGGGCACGCCATGACTAGCCACCCTTTCCTGGTTAGCCTCATGAATGTGATCTGGCCGTTGGCTTCACTGGGTTGGCCTCCAAAGTAAGGTCACATTTCCTTTAATGGTTACATTCAGTGACTCTGTGCACCCCTCTCCTGCTTAGCCCAGGGCATTTGTTCTTCCCCTTAGGTTTCCCTGAAGGGTCTTCCTCAAGCAATGTCTGAGAATCCTGAGGAATACTTAGTCCTGAATCAGCCATTCTTGTTGCTCACCTATTGCCACCTGCTGGGAGGATGGTCCTGTTGCCTCTCTTGTCCTCATCCCACCAGCCCTCTGCTCTCCCGAGGGTCCTCACCGCTTCCACTCACCCGAGAGCCTCAGCTCACCCATACGGCCAGTTTCTTGGGGGCCCATGTCATAGCACAAGAGCTAGTCAGAAGGGGTCCCAGCAGGAGTTTCATACTCTCGCTGTCCTGAACCTGCCCTCCTTGCTGATCTAGCATGAACCCCTGAAAGTAGAAGACTCTTCCATTTCCTGCCCAAGGGAGGTGGCCTGTCCTTTGTCCAGAGGAAAACCTTTTGTCAACTAGACCCATCTAAAGGCCTCCTTCCTCTGCTGGAGGAGTGGCCTGTGACTGCCCTTGGGTTCCTTCACTGTCTTCCCTCCTCACAGTACCAGGAATGCTGTGCAGTCAGAATGGTCTGGTTGATTGGGGCGGACTCTTCTCCTGCTTGACATGGCAGCTGCCTCTGGAAAGGGAAAGACAGACCTCAGGACATCTCATAAGACTTTCCAGGCTGCAGCTCTCCACGGATGGGTCCCTGCAGGCCCTAGTTAGAGCCGCAGCCTGGCTCATAGGACACAGTCAGTAACTACTGTTGAGTGAAGGACTGTGTGTGCCTCTTCAAAAGCACTGGTGAGAAGGGAGCACCTGGCCATTGAGAGAATTTGAGCCACTGCTTGTTGTCTAGTGGCACAGTTACTGAGTGGGGGTAGATGTGAGGCAAAATTTTCTTACTGAAGCAAAAGGAGAAATAACAAACTCGGGTAAAATTGGATGACTAAAGGTCTGTTGGACCAGATCAAAATGTGCCAACGGGCACAGCAGCCTGCAGGGGGCATGGCTCTGTGTCTGTAAATCAGTGACTGGAACACCTTGGTGTACAGGACGATGCTCCAACCAACTGAGCCATGCCAAGGCCTACTGCCATTTTGATATTGTACCTTCCCATCTTTCTTCTATGCAGTCTTTGATATTTACATAGTCTTCTTGTATATAATCAAGTATGCATCTATTGTTGTTTTGTGTGTGTGTGTGTTTTTTTTTCATCTAATCCAGATATTTTCCCAGGTTAATAAAAATTCTTCATAAACAGTGTAACGGCTGCATACTATTCTGCATGTGACTCTGGTAAAGTTTATTTAACCTTTCTGCTGTTGCTGGTCTTTCACAGTCTTTCCAGCAAATAATACTGAGGTGAACAGTTTTGAAAAAAAAAACAACTTTTCCTCCTACATTTATAATAATTTTTCTAAGACATAAATTCATAACTTGAATCATTGAGTCAAATAATTTAAAAATTTCTAAGCAGTACAGTCTTTGAAGCAGACCAGATGGTTATAGACCTGACCTTAGCTGCAGAGGGGGAGATAAAGAGAAAAGGGTTTAATAGATTTTTGAAATAATTATTTTCTGTTTTACTGAAGGAGGTCTGGGAAGAACCAGCAGTGCTCTGTAGGGAAAACACACCTTTAACTTGAAGTTTCTGGCTTTGTGATGGGCTTGTTTCTGTTTTTGTATTTTCATGTGGGTCAGTAAGAGGACAAACCATTCCTACCAGCTTGTTTCCCTCTAAGGAAGAGAAAACTCATCCAGTATCTAATGATGCAGATCATTAGCTATGTTAACAGCCTTGCAGTTAGAAAAAAAGTTATAATATTATATCCTTCTAATGTGCAGTTGATTTTAGTGAAAATTTCCCTAGCAATTTAAAAACCCAGTGAATTTGTAAACCTAGTAACTGGCTCTGCATTTGGAAATGTTAAAGCTGCCACAGTCACCTGGGCTCTAGGAGGACACACAGAACCTCCCGGAGCTCTGGCTCCTCAACGACACAGACGGAGTTCTACACTCACCTGAGCACCACCCACCCCAGCCCCTCTGGGATCCAGAAAGGGAGACTTCATTACCAGAGTTCTTATTCCTGATCGTCCCTAACCAGAGAGAGCTAATGAGTGCCTCCAAGTTAACATGTCCGAAATCAAACTTTTGACTCCCTATCCATATCCAAGTTCAGCAATGGAACAACCACCTGCCTGGTTGTTGAAATCAACGTCTTCACTACTACCGAACATCAAGTCCATCAGTATATCCTGTCAATTCTACTTCTAAAAGTTCACTTCAAAGATAGATCTCAAATTATTCATTTCTGTCCATCTTGCCTGCCCGCCCTGTATGCCCAGCCCCCATCACCGCTCACCTGCTCTTCTCAACAGCCTTCTACAGGGCTCCTGCTTGGCTCTCTCCCCTACAATCTGGTCTCTACATGGTAGCCAGAGAGATCTTGGTAAAACATAACTTTGATCATATCCATCCCTTCCTTAAAACATGTCATAGTCCAGTGATGGCGAACCTTTTGAGCTCGGCGTGTCAGCATTTTGAAAAACCCTAACTTAACTCTGGTGCCGTGTCACATATAGAAATTTTTTGATATTTGCAACCATAGTAAAACAAAGATTTATATTTTTGATATTTATTTTATATATTTAAATGCCATTTAACAAAGAAAAATCAACCAAAAAAATGAGTTCACGTGTCACCTCTGACACGCATGTCATAGGTTCGCCATCACTGTCATAGTCCTTCCTTTGCTATTAAGGTAAAGGCCAAAATTTCTAATGTAGCCAAGAGGGTCCTGCATTTTCTGCCCTGGCCTTCCTCTGCTGCATCACTGTGCACTGTGTCCCCTGTAAGCGAGTTCTGGCTTCCCAGCCATCCTTCAAGTCCTGGAACTCCTGCACCATGGCCTCTGTGCTCTGTGCCAAGGAGAACCGTCTGCTCCCCCCATTCTTCCTCCCTATGGTCCAGGTAACCCTCTCCTTCTTTCCTCAGTCCTAGTCTAGGTCCAGTTATTTACTTTTATAGAAACATGGGAGTTTTTTCCTGCTTCAGAGGACCTATTTTAATTTGAAGTTTTTTATATCTATAGTCATTAGTTTATGTGATTGATGTCCATCTTCTGCACTGGACTATAAGATCCGTGAATGAGGCCGCTTTCTGCCACTGTTCACTGTTCTTTCCCCGTCAGTCAGATCAGTGTCACAAAGTAGGTGCTTAATAAATAATTGGTTGCATGCCAAATGAACAGTAGAGTCCTGGTAACAACAGTGTCCCTGTGAGGCATGGGCTGTTCCCAGAAGTGGCAGGCCCAGGTTCTCCACAATACATCAGCTGAAGGGAGTTTGATTTTGCTTTCTTTTTTTTTTAAATTTCACCCATCAGAATGAATAGAGCATGCTGCCTAAATCTTACTTGTTTTTCTCTTCTCTCTTTATTCAGCTGAAGCTTGCTTTCACTCTGGACCATGAGACTGGATTGCCTCAAGGATGTCACATCTACGAGTACCGCGACAGCAACAAGTAAGCCACTCAGTGGAAAGGGAGTCACCTCGCTGTGTCCTGCAGGGGTAGCACCTGTGAGCTTTCTTATACTGGGCTTCTCCTACAAAGAGATTGTCAGGGAGACAATCACACTTTTCATGACTATACTAGAAAATAGGTGGCAGGAAAATATTTCTCCTTTTGCCCGTAAACAGAGAACTTGAAGTGCTTGTATAAGAGCAGCTGTGATGTTTGACTTGTGTGTCCCGAAGCAGACCTTCCTTTCCAGGCTCCAGCTGTTCTCCAGACCCGCCCTGCTTTGTCTCCAGCCATGTGCCTGCTAACTTGGTTCACTGTGTGACTTCGGCTCTCGTTGACGTTGTCTGATTACACTTATGTTTGCAGGTTTTGTTGTAATTGTCTACCTCGTGAATTTTGTAGTTGGGGGATTTCTGAGAACTTCTAGAGATTTAACCTGGTGGCCTTATCAGAAGAGGTGCATGCTTCCATAGCCCCGCCTTTCTTCCCGGCAGACTGATCTGTGACTATGTGTTTCTGTCTGTGAGACAGTAAAAGTGGTGGTGAGCAAGGCAAAGGGAATATGCCCTGATGATGACAATGACGATGATGGTAAATAAGACGTCAACCACCATTGAGAAACTCTGCTGGAGGTTAGGACAGTACTGGAACATTACACTTGCTATCCAGTTTAATCCTCATAACAACCTGAAGACTTCTCTTTCACCATAGGTGCTGCCAAAATGAGCACTTGAGTTTCCTTTTGTTATTGTTGTATTTGCAGAAGCTTGGGTCAAGGGCACTTGCTCACGGTCACTGGCCACAGCTGTTTGAGGCAGAGTCACATTATCATGTTTACTCTGGGGAGAGAATAGATAACCTGTTGTCCCAAGTTGCTACCTTGGAAACTCCAGTCAGTGACAAGAACAGTCTCAATATGGACTTGAGGACAACATGCCCTGGTCTGAATGTTTAAATATCTAAGCTATTAATTTTATGCAGTGAAAGGAATCAAATAGTCATACTCCAGTGGGATTGTACATTACCTTCCAAAGGGAAACCCGTGTCTTCCTCAGAGCTCTTGCTTTGATATGGGTTGAGATGGTTCCTGGGTGCTTCATGATCAAATCTCCACTCAGGTTGCTTTCAAGGCATCATTACCCTTTGTAATTTACGTTTAGGAGGATGTCATGGTGAGCTGTTGTGTACCCTCGGTTCCCACCAAGTTAATTGTTTAGGAAAGGCTGGCCACGCATCCTTTAACACCATCCTTCCTCCTCTTGGACGGCACTGTTCCAGGCTATGTAAGCCGTGGTGTTGGAATTACCATCTCAGCTTCTTGTAGTGCTTAATTCAGCAGAGAAGTAGGACTGGACTTCTTTGGAGTCCAGGGACTAGCAGGGACAATTGAGCAAGTCTCTGGGTGGTAAGGGCAAGCATCACTCAGAAATAGGAGAAACATAAGCCTCAAGCTGCTTGGCATGCCATTCTGTTACCCTGCTTGTCAGTGCCACCCCATACTCCCTGCTGCTTGCTGGATGGCGGTGGATGGCAGCCCCCATGCATGGAGATCGTGGCAGCAGAAACAGATCTTTATGCCCAGGAGTGTTTACAGACTCCATTTCCTGCCTGACTCTTCACTCCCTGAAACAAAGATTGGCAGGGTTTTGGTTCAGTGGGAGAAGGGCATTGGCCCTCTTCCCTATAAATTCATGTGGTCCAGTGACAACAGCTTAGGTTGTCTTTGAAGCTGAGAGGAGAAAATAGCCTAGCTCTCTTTCTTGGCCCAACCCCTAGCTCCTAGTATTCATATGTATCAGAGTAAGCGATGTTTAGGAGGAGAATTTCGGGGTTCTAAATATAAGTATGCTTTGGCCCCCAAAGACGTGTAAAAGAAAACATTTGTGTAGGAAGCTGGATAGGAAAGTATATGATCCAGGGCCTCAATGGCCCCTCCCTATGGTTCTGTCTTGCTTGTCTTAGAGCAGTGGTCGGCAAACTCATTAGTCAACAGAGCCAAATATCAACAGTACAACGATTGAAATTTCTTTTGAGAGCCAAATTTTTTTAAACTTAAACTATATAGGTAGGTACATTGTTGTTAACTTAATTAGGGTACTCCTAAGGCTTAGGAAGAGCCACACTCAAGGGGCCAAAGAGCCGCATGTGGCTCGCAAGCCGCAGTTTGCCGACCACGGTCTTAGAGGCAACGTTGGGGTTCATTCTCAAAATGTGGACAAATTTCCTAACCTCTCTGAGCCTCAGGTTTCTTCATCTGTTAAGATCAGTGGGACTAATGATACCTACCTGGCATGATTGTCATGGGATTGAGCAGGAAGACATGTTAAAAACATCATCACTGACTTAGCATATAGAACGCCCAAAGTAAGTGTTGATTGCCTCTCCTTCCCAAACAGAGAAGTCACCTCATGTACTTTGTTCTGTTTTCCCCTGCCAGCAGGGTTGTGTCCATGAGCACTGGATGCAGCTAACCTCATCTCTTGATTCGGGAGGAGGCTGGTGCCACCACCCCACCCCCCCACCCCCTCAGCTGTGTGCGATACACTCTATCCAAAGGCAAACTCCTTTTCTCACTTGGAAATTGTGAAGTGAAGCACGGAGAACCCCATGAGCTTGACCATGATTTTCTCTTTTCCCCCAGGCTCTGCCCTGTGTTCCTCTGTTCATGGTCAGGGTCATTTCCCCAGGAGTGCCTGAATCCCAATATTGGTGTAATAGTGATGTTTGGGAAATGAGGATATTCCCTAAGGAACCAAATGACATGAAGGCGGCAGCAGCAGAGAGATGAGGGTCTACATGTGAAAGAAATTAGCTTGATATCTCAGTATTAGTTTGTAATAATTAATGATTAAAACCACTATGTGTTTTGTTCATTTCAGTACTCCTAGTAACTAGCCCAGGACCTGACAAATAATACTTTAAAAAAAAAAAAAGATTAAGACTAGCTTTATTGTGATACTCTTTTCTTTTCTTTTCTTTTTTATCCTCATCCGAGGATATTTTTTTCCATTGATTTTTTTAGAGAGTGGAAGGGAGAGGGAGAGTTAAAGAGAAACACCTATGTGAGAGAGGCACATCAGTTGGTTGCCTCCTGCATGCCCCAAACCAGGGCCAGGAGCCTGCAACCAAGGCACATGCAGGAGGCAATCAGTCAGTGTGTTTCTCTCACATTAATGTTTCTCTGTCTTTCCCTCTCCCTTCTGCTCTCCCTAAAAATCAATGGAAAAATATCCTCGGGTGAGGATTTGAAAAAAAAAAAAAAAAAAGAAGAAAAAGAAGAAGAAGAAGAATGATAGGAGCTTCTGCCTCCCAACTGCCCACAGCTCACCAGCACTGGGCTATGGGCTTCCCCCGTTATCTCTAGTTTCAAAAACCACTCAAGACAGACTTACTATCACAGTTTTACAGATTACAAACCAAAAACACATTACGACTGAGAGTCGGAGAGGTTAACCTGCCCAAGGTCATACTGTGGTCAAGAGCAGAGCCTGAACTTTATCCTGGCTCTAGCAGATTCCAAAGCCCATGTCACCTGCCTTTCTCTCCACAGCTTAGAGATCGAGGGAGCTCTGATTCTAGCCTCTGCTAAGCTGACCTTCCCTAGAAGCTTCTTGTCTGGAAACTATGGGATTTCTAATCCCTGCAGACCTCTGGGTGGGTAGACAGCCTGGTCTGGTGGAATGAGCTCTTGATTTGTCATTGTAAACCTGAGTCTGGCCAGTCACTCTCTGTGGTGGGTCATTGTCCACTCTGTGATACAGCCTATTAGAAACATGAAGGTGACGATACATCTCAAGGTTGAGGGAGAATGCAACAATGTGATGTGCGATGTGACTGTGGAAACTGTGGTGCTTGCCCTTGTACCTGCCTGAGTGGCCCGTGCACTGTGCCTCGCCCTGGTCCAGAGACTCCCTGACACCCAGAGCCTGCTCCCCCACCTCGTTCTTCTTGGGTCGGTGAGTTTGCTAAACAAATGAAACTAAATATTTTGTTTGCCTCGCCAGATGACTCATCTTGGCACCTTGAAACCTGTATCATCAGAGCTAATAGCCCACATCTAGAAGTATCAGAGAGAGAGCTTCCTGTGGGACTGATTGTCCTTAGCTGAGGTGCCTCCACCTTCCTAAACCCACACTGGAGGACAGTGTCCCTGCAGCCTTCCAGAGCACAGGGCAGTTCTGCTCTCACCTCTGTCCTCTCCTCTCCCCAGCCCGAGGGCACCTCGTAGCTCAGGTCACTGGCCTTTCTGGCAGCAGCCAGGGCTGAGGCAGGGCTCTGGGCCCTTGCAAACCCACCTCGATTCTTTCCTCCAGCCCCTGATCACATAGTCAGCCCTTTCTGGACCTGAGGGATTCCCAGTGTGCTGGCCTGCTTTGTGGGGCCTGGCCTGCTCAGCCTCCCCTCAGTCTGAGGACACTCTTCGTGCAGGCAGGGCAGACCCAGAGGACAAAGCTCAGGGTCACACTGAGAGTCTCCTTCTGTTGTTTTGTTCTCATCATGGAGGCTGTGCTGGGTCAGGTCAGGTGCACGGACAAGTAGACTCCCAGACTGGATTAATGCACAAGAGACGTATGGGGGATGAAGGGAGCACACAGGAATGGTGGGAGGCTGCAGACAGTGGGACCAGCCTGCCTCTGTGAAAGAGAGGGGCGGGGAAAGGAGAGCTGGTGGGCAGGGCCTCAGCCTGTAACCAGGCTCTAAAAAAGCTTTGGCCAGGCCCGTGGCTCATCCTCCAGCCAGAGTTGCTAGTTGGAGGAATCTCACATCCCATGTGGGGGAACAGTCCTGCCTTGAGACCCCTACTATGTTCAGTCACCCTGGGCCACTTCCCCAAATGGAGCTTAAAAAGGAGAAGTGAGTGGGACAAACTACCACCTCCGTTATCATAGTCGAACTCGGAGCCCCAACTGGTCCTCACCCTCAGCTAGCACCTAGCAGGTCTTGGCAGCTTAGCTGTTGGGTGTAACCCAGACCTTCATTGCAAGATTTCTGCGCCCTTG